AGAAATCTGGAGATAGGCACCAGCACCCCTCGCAACCCCACTTGGGATAAACGTGACGGAAAATGGATGGATGAATGGACAAGGTAACAGAGTATTAAGCCACATACTTTCTTTTAAAGTAGAAAGTGATACGCTGAACAAATCTGTTTTAGTCAAATTTAATAATTGTGCAACAAGTCAAGATAATAAAAAAATGAGATCACCTCTCCCTGCTCCCTTGAAGAACACAAATAAGGCAGTGAGAAAAGAATATCTGAAAATATATATTTAATAAATAAACAAATTGTCAAAAAATGAATTTTATGTATAAACAATTATATCAGTTTCTTCTATAGTCATCTCTTAACTGACTATGAATAATAATGAGTTCCATTTTTCTTTAACCTAAGCAGAAACAATAATAAATCAAAATAATATAAGTTATACGTTGTAAATCCGCTATTTTAAATTAACTAATGTTCATGTTGGTGCAAGATTTATATATATTAAAAACTTTAAAAAATATATACATATGCATCCATGATAATTCAATATTCTACCTAATCTTCTATTATAGGAATAAAGAAGTCTATCACAATATCTTCACATAACACTGATCTGATGTTAAAGGAATAGTACACCCAAAACATGATTAGCCTTCATTTTCTACTCACCCCCATGCTGAACAACACTCTGGAGTACTTTTTTGATATCTCAAATGCATCTGGAGATCTGGGAGGCTTCTTGCTGTCTGCTGGCATTCAAATAATGGAGGTCTACGGTGCCCGAGGCAGAAAGGTCCATAAAAGTCCACAAAAAACGTGTCAATATTCCTCCATACTGCTCGTCCAATGTATTCCAAGTGTCCTGAGTGGGTAGCATCCAGAATTTACTCGAAACAAAGTCCTTTAGAATATTTTTAGAGCATAAACAGTAGTGTATAGGATTTCCTAAAAGCACGCGCCTGCGAGTTCACGAGCCTACGGAAACTGCGGCAGACCAAACCAGACGAAATTGCGCATTCAGCGTCTGCTCTTGATAATGCAAGCATAGAAGAAGAAATGTGCTGCTTACCCGTGCAAAGAAAGAAACAACAAAAGATAAATGTCTGAGGACTTCAGTGTTGAGGAAGACCATGAGTTCTTTGCCGAGCTGAATGCGCACTTTCATCTGGTTTGGTCTGCCGCGGTTTCAGTAGACTCGTGAACTCGCAGGCGCGCACTTTTAGGAAATCCTATACACTACTGTTTATGCTCTAAAAACATTCTAAATGACTTCGTTTCGAGTAAATTATGGACGCTACCCACTCAGGACACTTGGAATACATTGGACGAGCAGTATGGAGGAATATTGACACGTTTTTTGTGGACTTTTATGGACCTTTCTGCCTTGGGCACCATAGACCTCCATTATTTGAATGCCAGCAGACAGCAAGAAGCCTCCCAGATCTCCAGATGCATTTGAGATATCAAAAAAGTACTCCAGAGTGTTGTTCAGCATGGGGGTGAGTAGAAAATGAAGGCTAATCATGTTTTGGGTGTACTATTCCTTTAAGCCGCCACACATCTTTTTATACCTCTCATTTGCATATGTGAAAACAGATAGTTAATCCAGGTCACCAAAAATAGTGTAACTACAGTTCTAAAAGTATTTTTTTCTATTTTTTAATCACCAATGAATGCTAAACTGCACATGTAAAAATTAATATAGACTTGTCTGAAATTTGTTTTATGCGTTTTACATTTCTCAGCGTTATAACGTCATCACCATGTTTATCTGTAATTAGTTGTGTCTTACTATAGATTATGCACTGTATAATATAAAAGTACCATGAAATGCAACCATAAAACACTCAATATTAACACAGTATAAATGAGCTGCCGAAAATTGGGAAGATTCCCATTTCGGTGACAGATTAGATACAGACAAGTGATACAACAGAAAAGATGTAAATACATTTATTCTCTGAAAAAGGTTATTATTATTCTTTTAGACATTTTAATTTAGTGCACTTTTTATATTAAGGACAATCAATCGTAGCCCGGATGCATTCTAATTCAACATGCGCAAATAAGCTGACAGCCCAAAGTCTGCTGTCTTTTAACAAAGATTCCTACCCTTCTGTTCAATGTTCGCAAAAAAATCTTGCTTTTTTTGGGAAACTGATATTCTGTCAAAATTTTACCCCACACATCTCCTTACTGTGGAATAATAGTTTTTAACGGGAAATCAGTCTTTATCTCTCATTGTTATTAGAAAGGGATAATGTTTGTTACTGATTTTATGGACAGCAATGAAATATTGTTAGAGCATTGTGGACAAATTTGATTTCAAATGTACCAGGCATGAATGTCTTCAATTGTTTAAAGCTGTTCCTAATGCCCTTATCCTTCTTACAAAACACATAAAGGTTTTCTATTGTCATTCCAAGTCTTCCCAAATTTGTCATGGTTTTGGTTTAGATTTTGTTTTCTTTCTTCTTGAATTTTCATTGGTTTCATTTCCATTTTGAGTTGTTTTCTGGTTGTACTTGAGTTTTTATGTATTTGTCCTTTACCAGACATGGGCAATGTGGAGTCAACAAGTCATCTCCATGTCATGTATTTAATCTACCCAGCCAATTAACCAGGTGAGTCCAATCTGCACAGGTTAATTCACGATGAAGATTGGACTCACCTGCGTAAGTGGCTGGGTAGAACCTATACATGACATGGAGATGACTTGTTGACTCCACTTTGCCCATGTCTGTCCTTTACCCTCTGTTGCCCCCTTGTGTCAGTCTCCTTCCCCTAGCTCTCTTCTAGATTCTTCCATCCACACCTGTTCCTCGTCTGCTGATTAGCCCAGTCTTTGTTCAGTGCCCCATTTATACCCCTCTTGTGCAGTTTCTCATTGCTGGTTCCTTGTCTTTCCTTACTTCTCATTGTGTTTTCCCTGATGTCTCTTTTGCTCTTTTGTCTCACACCAAACACTGGGGAAAATAAGAAGCAACATGTTATGCAGAGTAGACCTATGAATTAATATATTAACTCAGTTAAGATTAAGAATCCCAGTTGGGCATGTGATTTTGGCATTTGACCAATTAGATGAGATCTTCGATAGTATGTTACCTACTGTAAATTAAGTTGAAAAAGGTTGTTTAATCGTTAAGTTAATAGTTTACAAGCTAAGTTAAAAAGTCAAACAAAATTAAAAAACCTAAGTGAAAAAGTTTAAAAATGTTAAGTAAAAAAGTTAAGCTGAAATAAAAAATATGAAAGAATGTATTCCTCTATATCAGCATTACTGTTCTAAGGTTATGGTGTAAGAAGATTCAAGTCAATGTTGCATTTCTTTTAGAAATATTCTGAAAGTTTTTGGGGGAAAAAGGCACAGAATTCTAACTTCTTAAGATCGAGAGATAAGTGTTGACAGTCAGTAATGAGATGGAACCTATTTCACCTGCAGGTTTTGATACAATGTTTAATTAATCCATATATTTTTATACCTGCTTTATCATGCAAGACTGTGTTGAAGCTGAGCCTACAGGTATCCCCAGTGGTCTTTGAGCAAGAGGTGGAGTACACCATGGACAGGTTACTAGTCCGTGCAAGAAAAACACAGAGGGCACACAGGAAAAAAAAATTAAATTCAAGCATACCCTCTCACAACTAAGGATACTTTAGGGAGAATAAACAGTCAGGTTTTGGAAGCAGTCATGTATATTTTTAGAGTACCCAGAGATATTCTGTACATGCATGCATGGTGAGAACCTGCAAACCTGTGCAGAAAGTGGCCACAGTGGCCAGAGTATGAACGCAGGATGTTCTGGTGACAACAGTTCTGCACAGGCATAGGACAGTGGTTCAGTTTATTCATGAAACTCAAATTAATAGCAAATGCTGGCATAGGATATTTTACTACATAAAGATAGATACAGAAGTATTGTTAAAGTTAATTTCAGTCATTTGGCCAAATTCACAGTCCATAATACACATTGCAATTCCCTCCTAGTTTATGTACAGTAGTAAGCCCAGTTTATTATGCCAGTTGGTAAATTATTTCTCCCATCAAGTCCACATTTAGTTCAGTGATTATTTAGACTACTTAATGTTTGCCTCTGCTAACAAACTTCATTTTTCTGGTCTCAGTATCCCATAGGGCATATTATAAATTGCTAATCCTTGTGCCTGAGTAAATGACCTTACCAAAAACCAAATTAAGAGTCTATGAAGCGTTTTTAAGAGAAGATCAAACATGAAAATGCAGATAAACAAAGCTCACTGCTAACAAATCAACCTCAGAGCTTTTTCAGCACCTCAGAGAGTCAAAGGCTTGTTAACACTGCATGAAGGAGGCCCACTGAATTCTGCAGAATACGGACATCATTTTTAACAACACGATTTTATGTATAAAAGATTTGTTGAGAACCTCAACCAGTGAGGGGGCAGAATATTTGACTGTAGGGCTACATCTGATCCATTTGGGCGCTTAGAAAGAGCAGCCAAACATTTATTAATTAAGCTAGATTTGTCCTTTCAAATCTTTGACCAAAAATATTAAAAGCACCACTCCCCCCCTCCCAAAAAAAGGAAAATACAAAAAAATCATGTTATGCTTAGGAAAGTGCCAGAATATAAGACTTTAACACATATAATAGGCCTACATGTCCCCAGCACGCATCACAGCCCATGGTTTTAAAGTTATGACCTCATTAGCTCCAGATTGTGGCCATATAACCTTAAACCCAAACAGATGAGGTTAGGATGGATGAAATGTTCTCGTTTTCTCTTGGGCACTGAAGCGTGATTTTCAAGGTAAATATTCTTTCCCCAACATGCGCCAGGTCTTTGTTGTTTACCAAGAGGTAAAGAGGCGGAAAAGTGAGGGGGATCTGAACTGGTTTCCATGTCAAACACTTCAATTCACCATAGAAACTCAGATCTTAACGCGGAAACTTTATTAAACTGTGATGGTGGATTGATAAGGGCCGAATTTCTATCGGCCTCTTTTTATTGTGGGCACCGGGCGGGCTGACAGAGGTAAATTGCTCTTTTAATTAAAGCAATGCACCAGGGGAAATTGCTGTCTGAATATTGTCTCAGAGATGGGGGCCAGTGACAGTTGCCTGGAAACTTCAATCTGTCCACCCGCATTTATTCCAGATCCCAGTTATGAGATAAAGTTTAATAAAAATCTTTTGCTGCGCCATGCACCGCCGAAATGAAACCCAAGTCTTTCTGAGCGTCTGAACACAATGAGACAGGAGCGCGGAGGAAACCTCATGTTCAACATGTATCTCTCAGGTTCGTGCATTAGGAATTAGTCAAACAGGCTTTTATGTTAGAATTGGTTGGATTTTTGCAGCATTGTTGTGTCCAGCGGGAGAAAAGTGTTTAGTTTCCAGGCAGAGCTTTGCAAACCGCTTCCCTCTGAAAGCCTGTCTGCTCTTTTGTCGGAAATCGGAAATCCTTTTTCCTGGACGCGTTTCCTGGCTTCTTCCAGGGGGGACCGCCAGGATGACATGCTTCACGCACTGGACTTTGACTGCACCACAAAGCCACTGGATTTTAGTTAGTTTGGGGATCCACCTGCTTACTTTTATACCTAAATTGCTGCAAAATAATGCATTTAAAATTTCACTACAAAATAGAACATTCTTCAGAAATCTATTTTGGGGAATTTTATAGAATTTTACCATTTTAAGCGGAAGAAAAGAAATTTAATTAAGTAATGCAACCTTTTTTGCCATTTATTTAATCATATTTAGTTACTTTAATACAATTGTTTCATTTTAGCAGGGTGGGTCATAAAACAATTGTGTTAAAGTAACTAAATATGATTAAATAAATGCCAAAAGCGGTTGCATTATTTTTTTCCATTGTAATTACTGTTCATTTTTTAGTATTCAGCCTAATATTTTATTTTATTCGTATATTTTTTAACGTTTGAACATTCAGAACCTTCTAAAAATATATATTTTTACTTTTCCGAAAAAATTAATATCTAGATATAAATAGCTAAGAAAAACCTTCCCAAAAACAATGTTGTAATGTTTTTAAAGAGATATATGTTTGATGTGAATAATTTGTCTGTTTTTTCTCTTTTTTTTTTTTTTTTGTTTCAGATCCAACAGAAAATCTGTTGAAAGAAAGTAAAGGAACGGCTTGGAGCCCTATAAATACAGGAGTGCAAAAAGGTAAGAATGAATACAAGGCATGAACTATTTAGTCTTATAAATTCAACCAAATTACGCAAAATAAGAGCTTCTTAAAAAAAAAAATTTTTAACGATTAGTTTAAAAGAACAACAACAAAAACAACGATTTGCTTGCATGATCACAAAAATAAAATACATTGTTTAAAATAGTAATTTTATTCTAATTTTTTAAGCAACCAGGCTCGTTATTTAAAAAAATACTATATATAGCCTACTCTTGAGAATCATATTTTAATATAATTGTTAGTTTTTAAATTAAAATCGTTGTATAAATTCTTATCCCATGTTGGAATATTAAAAAAGACAGTTCTTATTTTTTTGCAAGGGATTATTCATTGTAATTTGAAATAGTCGCTGTGGATAATATTAACGTGAGTCTTTTTCAACTGATTTGCTGACAGAATTTTTACTTCAATAAGTAAAAGAAATTATTTGTGCCACAATTGGAAGAAATATCTTAAACCCAGAATAATGATATTACCTTAAAATTTTGCTTTTATACAAGAAATAAATAAATAAGAAATACATTTCCTAACAATGATTTTAAGACTTTCAGATCAGTCTCAAAATGTGACATTGATCCTTTTATGTTTTTTTTTTGTTCTTCCTGCAGGCAGCGGACAGATCCAGCTGTGGCAGTTCCTCCTGGAGCTCCTTTCCGACAGCACCAACGTGTCCTGCATCGCCTGGGAGGGCACCAATGGGGAGTTCAAGCTCATCGACCCAGACGAGGTGGCGAGGCGCTGGGGGGAGCGGAAGAGCAAACCCAACATGAACTACGACAAACTAAGTCGAGCTCTGCGCTACTATTACGACAAGAACATCATGACCAAAGTCCACGGCAAGAGATACGCTTACAAGTTCGACTTCCACGGCCTGGCGCAGGTGTGCCAGCCCTCCACCACGGAGCAAGCCATCTACAAGTTTCAGGGGAACTTTTCCCCCATCCCCTTCTCTGGCATTTCTAAACTGAACCTCGTGACCCCCGGCGTGGGCCCCTCGGGTTTCTCCTACTGGCCCGGCTCTCCATCGGCGGCTCTGTATCACACACATAACCTGCAGCCTCCTGGGCCCTTTGGCACAGTGTCTCCATCTCACATCAGCTGCGTGAATAACATCAACAGTCTGACCAACATCAACAATCACTACAACTGACTCCTGCTGCATGTCACATGCAAGACTGGGAATAAGAAAACAAGTAAAGACCAACTGTTTTTTTTTTTTGCTATAGTTCGCGGCCAACTATGACTAAATTCGGCCTGCATTTGGTTTTGAGTTAATGAAAAATTATCGATCAGATAGCAGCGGGAAATTTGGCATTAATTCTTACTTTATTACATCCAAATAATTGATCATTACTGGTTCGTTTAAATGTGAACTAAAAATTCTGTTACGCAAAGCAATCAAGTTATATGTTCAGACCACTGAGAGAAAAATGCAAAATATGTAGAAATATGTCAAAAAATTGAACTTGCTTTGATTAGTTTTTAATGGAATTGTCATTATCAATGTTTAATCAGTAAATATGTATAAATCCACCAGAAACAGCGCCTTTTTACGCATAGACTCCTTAAGCGCAAAATGTCGGTCTTTTTTTAATAAAATCTTCCAAATGTAGCATTTATAAAATCAACGAACATATAGTTGTGATAGTTTCTTGGTAGGAAATATAAACATCAACATAAGACACGATAAAAAATTAAACTGATTTCTCCTTTCTTTCATTAAGTTGTCTGTCATTTTGCGCTTTTTCACATTTGGTTGCTCAGTTCTTTATCCGACCTTTTTACAAACCAAGAGAACAATCTGCTTTAAGGAGCTTTCTTTTGTCCCTGAGTCATTTTCAAAGCTCTAGATAGAAATATAGAAATAAAAACTGTTGTTTTTTTCTTTCTTCACTATTCACTATGTATTAATTTACGGGAAATAATAACTGTGATTTTATTTTGCTCATATTTTCTCTGAGTTTAAGAATAAAAAAACATAGACTTGTGTAAAGTAAGTGAAAAAAATTATACTTGAGATGTGGTTGAGTTTTATATTCATCTTTATAATACTGTAACCATGAAGGAAAATAAATGAGTGATGTGCGTCGGTAAAAAAAAAAAATAAAATTTCAAACAAAAAAACAACTGTTTCCTATACGGGCACGAAATGGAAGCAAGAAGGAGAACCTGTTGTGGACCAAAAAAAAAAAAAGAAAAGAAAACGAAAAGAAAAAAAAGGCAAAAACGGCTTTATGCAGCTAAAGCTGTTTCTTATGTCATAATTTTTTTCAGTTGTCGGGGTAGAGCTCTGGCACCACCTTGTGGTAGAAACACTGAAGTTTAAATGTTAAGTTTTAGGTAAACTGCCAATTAAATCCCGTTTAAGGTAAACTATGGGCGGTTTGCTAAATCAATGCAACATGCAACACATTTAAAAGTAGCAGCCTATACTAGGGAGTTTAGTGATAAACTAGAATGTCAGACACAAACCTTTGCTCTTTTTTTTTATTTCTTCTACTCTGCTGAATTAAAACAAAATAACACATAAATAAAACTGTCTAGATGCATCTTTGGGAAAGGAGGAAATTGAATATGTAAACTGCAGATAAGAGAAACGTATTGACTGTTAATAAAACCTTACAAACAAACTACAAATAATAATAATAGCCAACCCACATGAGGTCTGAAATCGCCTAATTGGTGCTTCTGACACATATAAGATCTTTGCCATATATCAGCAACTAGGAGTTGATTGCGTATTGATCAAATCAGGGTGACTGTAGTATTAGTAGTACCATTCATTGAGTTTACTTGGTGTTTTCATAAAAACATAGAAAACTGACAGATGGAAAATTGCATCCATTTGGATACTAACTAACCCATAAAACAAGCTACAATTTTCAGCATCTCTGTTCTAAACAAGAACAAACAAATCAAAAACATTTATTTAATTCGCTATCAAAGTTAGGAAAGAGCAAAAAAGGAATAGCTAACTGCATGGACATCTCTTTAAGTACAAATAGATTATTAATAAAGTAAACTAAAAAAAAACTTAGAGGCTTGGACAGGACTTATAATTTATAAAACTGCAACGACACAGATACACCTAAAGTGGTTATAGATGATACAGACATTTTTATAGAGAAAGTCTTTGAAATAAAAAAAAAGAAATGGTCTGATCTTTAAATGAATACCTGTAATGGAAGATGTTTGGCTCACTAGCACTCACCAGTGTTCAATAGCATTACATCTAAATACTTTATCTTGATAGGTGGATGTGTGGCACATTGAGCAGCTGAAGAATATACGTACATTTCTTATAAGTGAAATGAGATCATGTTGAGTGATATTAGATCAAGCACAGGTGATTCTGATGCAGCCTAAATTTACACGACTATAGAGATTGATCTGAACCAAAGCACCACTAACGTCACCAGGATGGCCTACTGGAGTTCACTAAAAAAACTCAGCACTTGTTTTTACTCCCATACGCTAAGCTAGAGATTCAGGGTCAGAAAACATCAGGGCTCTTGACATCAATGTTTTTAGCATAGTTTTTTTTTTTTTAGCTAAAATTGAATCAAAGCACCTCTAAAATCTAAGTTGTGTTTTTTGTTATGTATGCAGTTAGTAAAATAAAATAAATCGAACAACAAAAACCTATAAAACTGTAAAAACTGTACAGCAATTGGGTTAAAAGTTATATTTTAACCCACTCCCTCCGAAATAGTTTGATCCATTATAAGATGTAAGATATGCACAACTATATATTCATCGTGTTAAATCCAATCCATCATAATAGTGCCAGTCCAAAGGTGGAGAGGTGTACACAGGAAAAGAGAGGAGCAAGGTGTGTGTAAAGAGCAACATCAGGAAAAGTCAGGTAAGAAAACAAACAGAATAGTAGCACATTGAAAAACGTTTCATTCAGTAGATCATTTTACATTTATCTTGGAAGTTATGTTTTTACCCCATATTAAATGCTTTTCAGAAGGACCTACACATTTAACACATCCGTGCTCGAAATAAGACTTCTTTATTGAATTTTTTTTATTTATCTGTATGCTTTAGAGCAGCAAACCATCCACTGAGTCAAAGGATCTCAAAATGTAGAACATTGCTCTTAAACAGTTAAAACGCCTCTAGTTCCATCTCACACAAAAAAAGCTTAAAATGGTTGGAATATTCTTTTTAAAAAATGCAGTATTCTTTTCGACTCTTTGGTAAAAGTCTCATATAGAACTCATTAGTGATTGATTGAGTCAGTAATTGATAAAAGACAATAAGCAAATTTAAACAATGTATGTAGAAAGTTGCTCAGCACTCCAAAACTTCTGACCCTCGAATCACCCCTGGCTATAGAAGAGCTTCAAGCCAGAGGAAATCAGGATGATCAATTCCTCTAAGCATCAATTTTAAAACTATTGCACATTCACATTTGGTATTTCTATTGACTTAATTTGCCTGTCTATGACAACATTTATATGCCTATTACCGACCATTTAGTGGGTTTTAGTGCATTTTCCTTATTGCTTTCTTGTGTTTTACATAGTTTCATTGTAAACATAAGCTTGGGTAGAGTACAAAGAAATTTCACTTAAGTAAACATAGTAGTATTTTAAAATGTAAAAAGTGTAACTCAGGTAAAAGCAGAAATAGTCATCAAAGAAATAAATCAATTTAAACAAAAAACAAAGTTCTTGGTAAAATAGCCACTCAAGTACCGACTAATTGGTGGCTTATAACGTCTGATTTAATGTATAGACAAACAGTTATGCTCAAATTCTGATATAGAATAAATAGACAACAGCCTTTAAAAGCGACTTAGTTCACAGCATACACATTCTAGCCTGTGCTAACACAATGGTACTGCCATAGATAATTTATTTATGCTTCAGGCTTGTCAGTAATAAGAGATGAACTTTTTTCATCTTTAACATCCTTAACAGAGATGCCAGCAAATAGAGAAGGCATTGAATAATCTTCCAGTGGTGTTTTCTGATCAGTGTTAGAACAAACCTCTGTAGCAAATATCAATTTTATATTTAATCATTAATTTATTAATTTATCAGAACATGTTGGCTGCCCTTTTAATATGTATGTTGCATTCCAGTGCAAATTAATTGCTGTGTATAACCTTGCTGGGCAGGTTTTCTACAGTACTATGTTTTATGCTATTGGAGCTCTGCAGCTATTGAACAGTTGTAGGAGCTCTAGCTTTCAAATGATAAATTTTCCAGAGGTTTCAAAATGCAAAATTCTCTTATTGGCCACACGGCGGCGCCATTTCTCTTCTAATGCCACCAATACACTTTACATAACATAACTAGGTGATCAAAGGCTGGATTAATATACACCGCAGAAGCTGCTGTAAAAAGCAGATTAACCCCTCACCTAATTTAATAACAGTCCATCCAGGAGATGGAAGTTTAGACTGCATCTTAAAAGTAATATGTTTTAATTAATGGGGATAAGAGCATCACTGCAGTAAAAGCTGCAGTTTCATTTAAGAAAAAGATCATAGCAAAACAAGTGAGAATCTAGAGGAACCAGAAGCTATATATTGATGCTGACAGATCCAGAATGTGTGTAGAAGTGTGAGGAATAGAGAGTCCACCCCTCACTCACAGCACCCCTGTTTGTGTGTGTTCTGCATATCAATGGCAAAGACATGAGGTCATTCTCAGCAACTAAATCAATTTCTATCTTGCCAGGGTTGTTTTACCCACTAAACATTGCTAAAGAGAGATGTTTCCAGGATGTGTCTGCAACAGAGCAGCTCTGATAACAGAAGGGTGCAAACAATGCTGTCATTGGGGATTTAAACACTTAAACATTACAGCATATGTCACTTTTCTCTCCTTAATGTGTTCTGCCTCTAATCTGCAGCACCCTTTACTGTTGCTGATCCTCATCCTCTTGCTTCTTGCATAACAACCTAGGTAGGTGTTTTCCTGCAGGCCACAGGATTAACAGACAGAGGAGGGGGATGAAAACAAGAAAAATGAGGGCGAAAAATTGATTTAGCTGTTTATACATGGTTTTAAATAGCAGCACTGTTCACTGAGGTAAAACAGAAACAGGTTTGCAAGGAAAGGACATCAAATTTTTTTTTTCTCTGTCTGATATGAAATGAAACTATTTATGTTCTGCTTTAATCTGCTTCTCTCCATCTATTGTTTATACTCGCTCGTCCTTGCGGGGTTGTGGGGGTGGGAGGGTGGTGGGGGGACAGGTATTTATCTGCAGTGGTCGTTAAGAAAGAGACGGTGTACAGCACTGACTGGC